CGAGGCTCAAGCAATACAACAAACTATTCCACCAATCCCTCTATCCTTTCTAACAACGCATATGCATCAATTCATCAATCAACTTTTTTAGGGGATTATATGAACTAGGTTAGTTAATCAAATTGACACACACCAAGATTTCCAAGATAGTTGCTCGTTTAACATTCAGGACGTTTATTTTTGTCATATTATCTTGACTAGCTTATAATTTATACAGTGTTTGAATTTATTCAAATTTCTTTTCTTAAAAACCGAGTATTCTAGAAATTTTAGGACCACAATTTGTATTTCGCACAGGGGCCTCAAATTTCTGGAGACGGCCCTGCCTGCAGGTTAGGTCACCGTACCGAATATGTCTTATTGAGCTCTTAGGTCGAAGTTATATTTGTTGACTTTTTTTTGGAGATAGCAAACCAGTCATGTCAAGGGAAAAAAAATTATATGAGACCAGGTCTCACGGTTAGTAGGTGAACCTGACACGTGGCATTCACAAATCATAAAGGATCTAATCTCTCCCTCCCTGATTTCAGGTAGGGGTGGGGCAGATGCTTTATGATTTGTGAATGCCACGTGTCACCCATTAGGATAGGTCTCACCTGCTAACCCGTGAGACCTGGTCTCATATACTAGAATTCTTTTCCCATGCCAAGCGGTCGAAGTTATATTCAAAAGGAAATAGTTTCCGTGTACAAATAATGTGCCGCCGCGACGTTTTGCTAAGAGTTAAATACACCTGGGTGCCTTAACTTGTCGGGCACGGTCACTTTGGTGCCTAAACTTGTAAAATACGCAAAAGTGGTGCTATAACTTGTCGCATGATGCATATACGGTGCCTTCGCCTGTATGCCGCCATATGTGCTGTACGCATGGTGTGACAACCGGCGGCTGCCCCACATGTCAGTGTGTGTGAGCGTCGCCTGCACTAGCGAGGTGTGTGCAAGTTATTTTTTGGAAACACCCTAAAGTTTAATTAAATGTGATAAAAACGCCCTTTCTTATGCTAGTAGGCGGGAAAAAAACAGTCATTGAGGGTTTTGATCTTGGTACCTGCAGTTTTAATGCTATGTACACTAGCCACTCGAACGATGTATATTTTCTGAACAACTGTTAGCTAGCTGGGAGTAATATAGTCTACGTATCGCCCTACCATTTCCATTATGTTTTTTTGTTGTTGCTGTTTGGTTTAATGATATGCAAAATTTCCAATATAAAAATACAATAAATTATCATAAATCTTTATTCTATTTTTATTATTGTATAGTTCAAAGAGGTAAACATGAACATTTTCTAAATTTATGTGGATTTGAACAGTTCAACATATATTATAAAATATTATGTAATTTTTTTACGTAATGTTGTAATTTAAAAAAATTTCAATGTGTATTAAAAATGATTGTGTAAAAACAGTAAATTCTATAAATATGTTAAAAGTTTCTGTATAAATGTAAGAATAATTTTACACAATAAAATTTTCTTACATGTTCAAGATTTTATGAAATAGATGCTGTAAATTTTTTGAATGCATGACAAATATTTTTCAAAAACACGTTTAAAATTTCTTAATACATGTCAGAATTTCCAAAAGTATGTTGATTTTTTTTTCAAATGCACTAACACTTCTTTACGTTAATGATGGTTGTAATATTTTCTTATATTTCTTTACAAATGGGAAAAATAATAATAAACTAATAATGACATTGGAAAAATAAATGAAAGGAAACCTTGTGCGGGCCCACAAGACACCATTCTGAGTTCCTGGATTCAACTTCCGGCAAGGCAACTTACTTTTTTTCTTTCTATTTATCATTTCATGCAGTATCACTCTATATAAATAGGAACCTATTTCCATACTGCTCATACCACTACTATCGGCACATGTGCGCACACTGTGTGCTCTTGTACTTGTTTCAAATCGAGCCGGTGCACCTTTTCTTTTTCTTTTTAGTACTATTTTATCCACGTGGGAACCCAATCTGACAGGTGCGATCAATGCAATTCGTCATATTTAAACAAAATGCGAGGTGCTTTTGCAAAATTCAGTTAAAGTAGATGGAGTTTACTGTAAAACAACCAGCACGCTCCACTCACATCCATTGACATATGGGCCAATGCCATGGTGGCATGCCATGTGGGCAGTGCATACACCCAGATACGAATGGAGGCACCGTATTTAAACAATGGAATAAGTTATAATACCAATTTTGCGTATTTTACAAGTTTAGGCATTAAAGTGATCGCGCCGGAGAAGTTGAGACATCCGTGGTGTATTTAAGTCAGTAGCCCAGGTGCCACGGAGATAAGCCTATTTCCTGGCCCATGAAAGCACACTCGAACCCCAGACGGCCGACCATTCCAGAACCCTAGCCCATCCGACGGCCACCACGCGCCCATCTCCTCAATATAAGACCGCCCTCCCCGCATCTTCGATACCCTAAGTCACGACACTCCCGCTTCCCGCCGCCTACGCCCTCTGCCGCCGCAGCCGCAGCCATGGGTGAGCCCTTCCGTCTACCAGCTCCTCTTTCTCCCGCAATCTCGCCTGATTGCCTTCTCGCATGTATTATCGCGCGCTCGTTTTGATGGATTCGTCGTGGCAGGCGCGTACAAGTTCGTGTCGGAGCTATGGAGGAGGAAGCAGTCCGACGTGATGAGGTTCGTGCAGCGCGTGCGTTGCTGGGAGTACAGACAGCAGCCCGCCATCGTCCGCATCACCAGGCCCACCCGCCCCGACAGGGCACGCCGTCTCGGCTTCAAGGCCAAGCAGGTTTATCTCTTAGATCCGTTCCTCCTTTTTATGTTCCTTCCACGATGCCATGGCTGGGCATGTAAAAAAATCATTCTGTGCTGTCTTAGGTATATAGTTTTCTTCGTCTGTATTTGTTTGTTCGTTGTGCGTGGAAAGTGTACTTATTCTGTCTCGTCGAAGCTAGGTTTAGTTTTACTGATCAACTTATATGCCCTTCTTCTGCAATAATAAACGGCAGTTTGTCCTGAACGGATCTCAACTTACAACCATGATGCCATGATCACATGTTTGTATGTTTTAACAGCTTTAGTTAATTGCACCCGTGTTTCTGAGTAGTAATTTGGACCATGTCATTCAGTTTACTGTTCCTGAAACTTCTGTGGCCTGACATGGTTTACTGTAATTCGTGCACACTGAAGTATGTTCACATATACGCTGTAAGTTGCTTTTGTTTATACTAACTCGTGAAAAACATTAGATATTATGAGTACCATTTAGTTAAATTGCTCCATGTTTATGTTTCCTCTGTGAATTTAGTCCAATAACTGATGGTTGTCTCTGTAATTCTTCTTGCTCTTATTCTTTCTCCATTTTATAATTGCTTTTGTTTTCCCGTAGCTGACTACCTATGTTTCTTGTTTCCAGGGGTATGTGGTCTACCGTATCCGTGTGAGACGTGGTGGCAGGAAGCGCCCAGTGCCCAAGGGTATTGTTTATGGCAAGCCCAAGCACCAGGGTATTACCCAACTTAAGTTCCAGAGGAACAAGAGGTCTGTTGCGGAGGAAAGAGCTGGGCGCAGGCTTGGTGGCCTTCGTGTACTCAACTCCTACTGGGTGAATGAGGTATAACATTTGGTCACTGCTGAAATTTGTTGAAATGACTGAGAATTTTTATTCTAATATTATCAATTTCTCTGCTTGCCCGTTTCTTGTGATGTAGGACTCCACCTACAAGTACTTTGAGGTCATCCTTGTTGATGTTGCTCACAGCGCTGTCCGCAATGATCCAAGGATCAACTGGCTCTGCAAGCCTGTGCACAAGCACCGTGAGCTGCGTGGTCTCACCTCTGCAGGAAAGAAATTCCGTGGTCTGCGTGGCAAGGGTCACCGCCACCACAAGAACAGGCCCTCAAGGAGAGCCACCTGGAAGAGGAACCAGACCGTGTCCCTCCGCCGCTACCGTTAAGCTTGTGTGTTGTTATGTTCCGTGGAACCTGTCCTATGCCTACCTCGACAGTATCTGTTTGCGCCGTCAAATTTTGCTACCTTCGTTCTGTGGATGAACCTTTTATGTCCAGGCATGTCTGTTGAACTATTTGCTACGTGCCTGTGTTACCTGAAATCCAAATGATTTTAGTAATCTTGATGTGTGCTATGGTGGTTTTAATGCTTTGATGTTTTTCTTGCTTGGGCAGTACTGGGCGTCGGCGCGCCGGCTGAAAGTTTCGGCCGGTCGGCCCCCAGCCACCCGATACACGCACGTATACCCGTCCGATTGGACCCAGCGTCATATTCTTCCTCCCCCCTCGTCTCCAATCTAAGTCAACGCGATTCCGTCGCCGTGAGATGCAATTTACTGCAGCCCCTCGTCGCCTCCTCCTACCCCCCTTGATCTCCTGCTTGCAGCTTCTCGTGCCTGCCTTGCCGTCATTGTCGACGCTCTCCGGCGTAGCTCGTCGGCTCAGAGATTGCCGCGCTGGTGCCCGCGTGCGGTTCTACCACCTATGCAGCAGAACGTGTTGCTGGTTCCAGCAAATTAGCTCATAGGTAGTAGCATCCCCCGTCAGTTGTTGCTCAAAAAAACCATACCCGGTTGAAGCATCGGCGCTGCCGGTCGCATCTCGCCATGGCCGGATGTAGCTTCCAGCGACGCCGGTTGTAGCTTTCACAACCGCCGGTTGCAGCAAAAACACACATCATGTCGCCGTCGGTGCATCATCGCCGTGAACGGTTGTAGCATTAGTGGGCGACGCTTCCCCGGTTGCAGCTCCAGTGTGCGTGGTTGTAGCATCTCCGTGGTTGTAGCATCTCCGCGGATCGGTTGCAGCTCCTGCGACACATGATTGTATCATTTTCGCTGATGACGGCGTCGCCTGGCTACAACTCCGGCAAACTCGGATAGCAACTCTAGAGAATGTGGTTGCAGCATTTTAGGTGAACGGTTGTAGCTTTGTCGACACACCTCGCCGGTTGTAGCTCCGGTGTTCATGCGTTGTAGCATCATTGCAGGGTGGTTGTAGCTTTTTGATACGTGGTTGTGGCATTGATGCCGTTGTCAGCCAGGTCGTGCGGCAACCTCCGAGCACCGTCAGCTCGAAGCAACCTCCCCCGAGCGGAAGCAGGTCGCGTCCTCAGCAGGTCCTTCGTGCTGCCGGGTCCCAAAGCAGCAGGTTCCTTGCGGTGGCTTGTCCCTCCCAAGCAGCAGGGAGAAGGAAGATGACACCGGGAATTGCTGCCTTGTCTGGGCAAGATTGCTGCCAGGTCGCCAACGTGCGGTGGTGGCAGTTCATCTCCGGCGGGATTGCTGCCGTGTTTGGGAGAGGAGGTTGCAGCGGAGAAGAAGCTGGGCTGGGCGCGAGAACGAAGAAAAGGGAGGAGGATGACGCTGAGGTGGGCCCTCACATCTAACGTGTCGCAATTTGTATCGCTAGGGGCTGCGCGCGTGGGTGGAACCGGCCGAAGCGTTCGGCCGGCGTGCCGAACGCAAGCATTTACCTTCTTGCTTCAGTTATCGGTGCCAAACATTTATGACTCCTTAAAATGTCAAAATTAGAAGCTCTGTTTCTAAATTCTGCATTGTACTTGGGATTTTTCCTTGAACCTAAAATTGTGTATTCTGCATCGTCTTTCATCGCCTCATCGCCCCCCCCCCCCCGACATCGTGCGAGGTGGCGGCGGCCATACTGTGTTGGGGTTTAGTGATTTTTTCAACCTTCGGTGAGCTGCGTACAATAGTCGAAGGAAAAAAAGCATCTAGCTGCTGCCGTGGCACAACACAAAACTTGAAATATCTAAAAACAAAGCCCTCCTAATCTTTTTTTAGGTGCTGATTATTTTATGTTATGTGCGTCTCTTTCAAAAATAGGAACAGAAGGACAAGTTTTCTCCTTTGTTTGTCAACATCACAACACACATGCAATTTACACATGTCCACATCAATTTTTTCGGTAGCACACACAAAAGCAAAATGAAGGCATCACTAGTTTAACCATAAGCAGTATATGCACTCAGGGTCGCCAATACCGTCCTTCAAAACTAGCACCCTAAATGTCTACACATAGCCAAAAGTGATATAACAATATCCAGCATGAAACAATCAAAATTATGTAAGTTTGAGACATATGAGCGCCCCGGATCGACGAGGAATTCGACCGGATGATGGAGCTCGCGTTCGAGAGGTCACGCCCCGAGCGTAGCTCGGCGCCGCCATCGGCCCAGATTGACGAGGAGTTCGACCGAATGATGGAGCTCGCGATCGAGGGGTCACGCTGCGAGCGTAGCTCGACGCCGCCATCGGCCCAGATCGATGAGGAGTTCGATCGGATGATGGAACTCGTGATCGAGGGGTCACGCTACGACTGTAGCTCGATGCCGGCATCATCACGTCAAGGAGGATCCGCCCTCACAATGGTGCCACCGCATCAAGGAGCTGCCCACCCCCGTACCACCATGTTGTCGGGATCAAACATCGCTTCAAGGAGGATTCCCCGTCCCGGCTGCTCAACCACACCTTCCACATCAGATGTTGTGCGAAGGGGGTGAATGAGAAGCCGACGACGGTGCCTTGGTGGCGCCCGGTGAAGGAGGAGCCCGACAACGTCACCGCCAACATGCGCGGCCGCATCCTTCACTACCTTTGACGCGACGGGGCCTCGTCATCCTCTTGCGTGCACACAATGGTGGCCAACAAGGCGGAGCTGCACCGGGATCGTCGGAACGCGGCGCACAAGGCAGCGTTCGCCACGCCCGATGTCACGTTGGAGTGGGTCCTTGTTGACATGGACCTGGCTTTGGCAGGGGCCGAGGACCGGTCCAAGACCACCATGGAAACGTCCGCTCGGCATTTACGTTGCCTTAGCGACCAGCTCGACAAGGCCAGGGGCAGGCCGACTAGGGCGGCCTCGTGAGGAGGAAGCCAAGAGGTGTGCTAGTGGAGCTGGCCATCCAACTGCATGCAAAAAATGTCCGCCACATTTCAAACGCAAATTGAAAAAAGGGCCCCAACCTCACTGGAACGGGCCCGTTCCCCTCCCCAGTGCTACAGGACCGCGTGAGGAGACCGAGAGGCGACTGCGTCTCCCTTCGTCGCTGGTAAACCCGAGGATCCCCCCTCTGCTCGCTGCTCCGGTGGCGGCGGGAGGGGTGGGGAACCCCAGAAACTTGCACCTGGTGTGTGCATAGGGTTAGGGGTAGTAATTTGTGTGGTGTCGCTTTGGTGGTGGTGACGCCGCGTCAATTGGGTTTGCCCCATCTCCTGCCTTGCCACAACGATGTCTTTCGTGGCGTTGTCGGATAGGTGTGGGCTGTAGATTCCTGCCGCCCCTGCGGGACGGTGAGGCTAGGGCTTCTGGGTGCTACTACCGAGGCAACGGCGGTGGACGCACCATGGACTTTTGTTCTCCGCCTTCGTGCTCGTCGCGTCGGCGTCAGCTCCAACGCAAGCGAGAAGAGCGGGAGATCCCATGCTGGAGCAGGCCGGTGCCGTTGTTCCTTTCGTGTGCAGCGTTAACGACTTTTGCAAATCGAACTCAAGTCAAGCACAAGGATGGAGGTTTGAGGTATGCATATCCCATGTGGCTGCCCCGACTTATCGGTGGTAGGCGACAGATCTGGAGTCAGAAGCACTCCGGGCTCTCCCTGGACGACGTGCCACTATGGTTTCGTTGCTCAACGACGAACCACCTCATCGGTCATCAAAGCGCGGATTGCGCGAAGAGTGCGCGCCCCTGAAATTAACCATGCACCGAACATTGACACATCATGCACGATCAAGATCATTAACTCACGACATAATATCACAACACAACTCTATGACTCAAATTTAAACAAAGAAACAAAATATTACAAGCCAGGGTCGCAAAACCCAAAAACAAGGGTTAGGTCTGAGTACAAACAATTACAAAGGTGCCTTAAGAAGGTGAAAACAAACAACGACTCTAGATCGAAAAGGTGCAGGCCTCCTGCTTGGGACCTCTGAACTACTCCTCGACGTCGAACTCCACGTTCAATGAAGGGACCTACATCCGAAGCATTACTATCTGATAGCAGCTACCGGGTGGGATGAAAAGAGTATCAAAGCAACGATGAGTACTCATCCAAAGTACTCGCACGACTTACATCAGATCCGTACTAGATATGCATCCGTATCAAAGAAATGGGGTAGTATCTGTGGACTATACTACAGAAATGCCAGAATAACATGGAGAAGGTCATCCTATCGAAGACTACATCTCCTTGTAGCCATCATCTTGCAGCAAAAGAAGAGAGGTAGATCATCTTGCAGCAAAGGAAGGAGTATGAGCGCATACGATGCCAACTTGTAATTAACACATCAATACAATACCCTGAGATCCTTCCTCGACTCCCTGTGAGAAAAGATCCGCGCGCATTCCTATTTATTGAGCAATGTATTTCATCAAGTATCTGGTTCAAGTTGTATAAGATTGGGATACTCTCATATATCCAAGCGTCCTGTTATCGTGGACACGACTATTCGAATAGTTTACTTCCCTGCAGGGCCGCACCACATTACCTGATATGCTCATTACCTCTTGCCGGGCACACTTTTCTGGGTAATGCCCGGCCTCGGGCAATCGACATGCCATAGTCCTACCTAGTCTCCACAGAGAGGTCCCCCGGGTCTACATACTAAGCGCGAAGGGGTTGTTGGCCGCTCACCCCTAAGCACCCTGCGTCGTTGCGAGGGTGTCCGGCACCAACGAAACTCTTCTAGGATCCGCTTGCCCGACCACGCCGCAATGCTGAACTGGACGTCTAATAGAGCTTTTGGAAGAAATCGTACGATACCGAGGGTCCCATATACCATTATCCCGCACGGCGATTAGTGCGTTCAGGCCAGCGGCCAACTCAGATCAAATACCCAAATCTCTTAGTGTATTATTAGTAGTTCGCGGACACGAACAGGTCTCCTGTCGCGCCGACTTGGTAACTTGCGGACCACGACCA